ATTTTCTTCATAATTTATTCCATTTCTCCCCTACACATTGGCATCGGTCGCTGATATTTTTTATTCGATTAGTAAACCCCTAAGGTGTTTTTAGCCTTTTTTCGCTCGATTTTCTTCGAGGCATTGTTGACTGTTTTGGGGGGTTGTAGTGTTCATTTCTTTTGGTTGAGTGAACTTATTTATTTATATTTTTAACATTGATAATACATAATTTCTAGTAAATATTATTATGTAATAAACTCTCTAATTCTATTGCTACTAAGTATCAAATTTTAATTTGTTACGTCGTATTGTTTTAACAGATTAACTAATTGTCATGAAATTTTACATAGATATAGATAGTATTTCATTTGGAGAAAGACAATACGTTACGTTACGCTGCCTACTTATATTCCGGTCAACAAATATCACCAATCTAATCACTTGATCGAAGCGGCGGCAGATAGTAAAAAATCCATACAGTGTATCCATAGGTAAGCATTGTAGTGATAGTTGTTGAAATAAATTAGTCTTCTAAATATTAGGTCAATCTTGAAAATCACTATTTCTTATTTTTATAATGAACAATGAAAAATAAATCACTGTACATTCTAGTAATTAATAACCAGCGTTACATTCCCGGAAACAAATAGTAGCTGATTAAATTCAAATTCTTAGTGAAACCATAGTCACACGACCCTCTTTCCTCAAACCACGATACTTACACACTCGATTTGTGTCGCGCAGGAGCGCGGGGGATGAAGTAGAGAGGAAACTTTTTGATGGATCGGACGGAGTTTGTTTTGCATGTGAGTGATATGTCTGAAATAATAAATGTTGAGGCGTCGACGCTTCCCCGACTCCCTCTCGAGGGTGAGCTAAAACGATTTTTGATTTGGGTGTCAAGCAAATGTTTTACGCAGTGACGCTCCGACAGGATTTGATTTTCTTAATCGATTCTTGAATGCAAATCGGGGAATTAGTTTTGTATCGAGTACGTTTTGTAGATTGTAAATTTAGATGCTGGAATCGACACTGCAGTGTTAGGACGCCACGGATATGTAAATTGACGATACTATTACCGTGAGCTTTGTTTAATACTTACGGTAATCAGATTATGCATACAAGAACGGTTCGGAACGTTCGCCGCCGTGGCATTAGGTTATGTGAACGGTTCGGTATTAACTAATCAGCGTACATTGGCTTTGGTGGTAGATTGGAACGCATTGTCCGCGCTCGTGGCCCCGGAATATCTGTTTAGGCCAGTGGCCACTCTGTAATGGCAATGATCAGCGTTAACTTCCATTGAGTAGACGTTAATGCTATGTCGTAGCTGTCAATTTTCATATAGGCAATCAGTAATGTCACGAACATTACTGATTACCTATATGAAAATTAATCTCTTGAATTTTGGTAACACAATATGTAACCATAATTATAAGTGAACTAGCATGCTCTTTTACACGGTTGATTCTGTAGGTTTCCGATCTAATGGGTGTTTAAGAGATTACCCTTAGTACTTATTGAACCCCTGTAATCATAATCTCAAGGAACCCCTGTGAAAAGTTTCATGTTCGGTTGTATGTTGATCAGTCAATAATATTTTCCACGTTTATCTTCTTCACTAGTATATGACGAAATAGATTAGGTCCGTCTATATTTTTATAGTAGAGCTTGTTTAATTTTATTTTCTTTGATATTAAATTACAAATTTGCAAGTCATCCTTCAAATTTTGTTTTTATTTTTCCACTCGGCTCTCTGTAGAGATTCGTCGTCAATTTTCTTTTTGACAAGTGAATGAATAATGTTATTTCGCTTTTGACTTTAATCTGTGTTGGTTGATGTTGACAGGTTTTTGGGGCGTTATTAAATTTAAACACATTTATTTATCGTTTTCATATTATTGGTTTTTTTTTATTTATAAATTCTCATAAAGTTAGTAAAAAAATAAACAAAACTTGAAAGCGATCATATTTGCACACGAATAACAAAAAAATATTTAAACTGTCAAAATATTTCGTAAAGAAAACATGTCGGTTTTGCTCCACAAAAAAATAATGACTCCAATCGTAATAATTAATATTGTCTAGTAATCTTACAGGTTTTATTTTTTAATGCATAAAACACACTGATGTTAGACAAAATGTTTCATAAACATATTTGGTATAAAATGTTAAAATTTAACACACAAAATCGTTCAAGTGAAAAATTTTTACAACAAGCAAAATAAAAAATAGTTAAAAAAATAAGTACCTAAAATAATCCACGTTTTTTAAATCTACAATTTTATATTGGTATCATTCTAATAATTATTTTTGAACCAATTAATATATTATATCAATATCGATAAATGATCGTGAATTACTTTTTCTGTAGTTAAGAGTTTTGAAGTATCATCAATCACAGCAACACTTTTCGAGATAAAAGAGAACAGAGGAAGTGGTGATAATTTATTATTTCATTGATTTGCTGTTATCTTTTGTCCGATCGGGTGTTGGTGATTCGATCATTACTTTTGAATTCTTAAGGATGTGACTTGTTAATGTGATTATTAACAAAAAATAAACAGTCTTATGTGTATATTGTAACATGTTTATATCTATTGGAAGTTTTAATAAAAATAATTACAGAAATGAAATGCTTTATTACGTTATTTATTGAAATTCATTATTAATTTCTTAGTAAATTGTAAACAAATATAAAAGATTAAACTATTTACATTATATTTTTTATCCTGAAAAATCTTTTCAGAAATTTTGTTGCAGATTCACATTTCGCTGAATATATAATATACGAGTATAGAAATGACTTTATATTATACTTGCTTATTGCTATAACAATATAATTCAAAGTTTGAATGGGAACGCATTTGTCCCATATAACTAAAAAATGCAAGTTTGAATTCTGTCGGAAGGTTAAATTATTCTAACTAATACGTATTTAAGATATCCCGATATAGGGTAAGGTAGAGAATGCAGGGTAAATATAAGATGTGGTATATTGTATATATAGTACATACAAACACACTATATTTAGGAGCTATATATATATATATATATATATATATATATATATTTGCACTATAGGTCGTTTAATAAAATTGTTTACCATTGTACCAACTGTTTTTTAAAAAAAATGAAAATTAATAGACTCGCTCTTTTTATTTTGCAATTAATGATATTTAAATGACTGTCAAGTCTATTAAACTGCTGAACCCGGATTCGCACGATCAAAAGATTTCTAAAGGTACAAAGAATTATTTACATATTAATGGTGGCGGAAATGAAAAATATATTAAATTCAAACGGAGTTCCGTGACTCGTCAGTAAAGTACCAAACGACTACATTTCGAGGGTTCTAGTGTAGAGTAGCTTAGATACAGAAACAGTTTTCATGCTTCTAACACATCATAAGCACAAATAAATAATGCATTTTACTTGTGCAAATATGAAGAAATGATAATTTTCACATTTTTAAAGTATGCATATTTAAAACCGTTACTTATAAATATTTATCAAAATCTATTTTACTGTCATCATGAAGAAAATTATTCCTATTATTAATGTCTTTATAATACCACGTAATAATAGGAATATTGACAAAATATATACATTCAACACTATTTAATGTATGTAAGCACAGTTCTATCGTAAAAGAAATAAAAGTAAAACAGAACGTGTACCAATACAAAATTGACTTATATAGATTGTACATCGCAGGTCTTGTAATATCATATTTATTTACCATATTTGTTACATGCACAATTAAGAATAAATTGATACGTTGAATAGGAAGGAATAAATTTATTAATAGTAATTCTTTACCCTACAACTAAATGCAAATAAAATCTAGTTATTGAATGTGAAATATTCTTCACTATTTATAGAATGTATAGAATAGCAAAAAAATACACATATTTATTGAAACAAACGTATAATTTTGTGTAATTACAATAACTATTATTACAAAAAGTATTCATAATTCATTGCTTTAGTAAATTGTATTTAATACTTAATTATGTGAATAACTGTGTCTATTAATTGTCAATGATATATAAAAAACTTCTATTTTAAAATAATAATGATGTCACTTCAGATTTAGAAATGGTATGTTTCAGTAACTTCAAGACAAAAAAACATTGGTCAGCAAAGCGCGTATACATTAACTGTTTTAGACGTCCATAGCCTACAATAGTGGCAGCTGTTTTATTTATACTTCCATTAAAAGTATTTACTTACAATTTTTTCCCTGTTTGTACAATTTATTTCCACGTTACTCTGTAATCCACAAAAGGGTTCCGCGACGGCTTAAAACAGCCACTTATTATGTATGTTACATTTCACTTTCAGACGTCATTTATATTCAAATGCTCAAAAGGCATTACTGTGCAAAAATTGTAACATTAACTCGTTTGAAATTGGTTTCGACATTCAAGATTTTTTTTTACTTTTTATTTTTTAAATCAAACATAAAACAATACTTTTAAAATATCGAATTTAAAAAAATACACCGTATTTAATTTCACTAAAAACAATCATTAATCAGTAATAACAAATCGTATGGTACCGTTATACTGTCAAAGGTGTAACGAATGCGGATCCCTTGTTAAAGTCCATCAATATTAGATCGAAAAAAGTTAATAAGTAAATATTAATAAAAACGAATACAAACGGAAGCATCAAAAGTCTAATAATTCACAATCAAAAGGAGTTACGGAATTAGGGTAGCGGAACGAGAGATCGGCATACAAAATGATTGCATACAGCGTCTTCATCCGTTCACAAAGAAGCCCAGCGGGGTTCCACAATATTATACTTCTGCCTTTGTGGTAGCGCCAGCACGCAGTGGGACGTATGCTTTATGGTTTCAAATGATAAAACTGTTTGTCAGTAGCTTTGTTCAGATTCATTTGGTAGTGTAGTGCGTGACTGATGCATTCTTATTTTTTTATGTTAACAAGGTATCGATGGTTTCTAAATAATTGCTAGTTTTGATTAATCTAAATTTGTTCTTGTTTCAGATTGCGCGACGAAAGAGGAGACATGGAACGTGTGATGGCAATGGACAAAGCTCGCGAGGGATCACATAATGGTAATATTTACTTACAGCAATATTATTTATATATCTATTTTATTAGTTTATAATCCACAGTTTTGTCCCCAAATCAAGATAAAAAGTATTATACCTATACTAATCTAGATTATAATTCATCTGTATATCTATTTTCATTTAAATTCGTTTAACCGTTTAAGCGTAATTGAATAAACATTTTCTGATTTTTCTCATTTAAAATATTAGCTATAAAATATTTAGATACTTTTGCCCGCCTGAATTATTAATTTCAATAAATTTGATCTATCTATGTACTACTCTTAGATTATATAGATAGAGTGTCTCCATAGAAATACTTCGAGAAAAACGGGTCAACTTTTTTATACAATTTTGCCAGATAAATAGTTATGAGTGATTCCTTCTTAACTTTTATATTTATTTTGTCTTATAAATTCTGCATCTTTTTAATGCATAAATACTTATTTTATTTATTAAATAATACGTCAAGATATATTTTATATGCAAATATATAGAATACTGATATAAAAACATATCAGCTAATTTGACAATTGGCTGACAATAAGATGACCCGTTTTTGAGGCTCGATACCTCTATCTATATAATCTAAGGAACTAAGAATCTTCTAATATTATAAGTTATATGTGCATGGATATAAAAGTGTGTAAAAATGTTGAATGTTTGTTAATCGTGCTTAAAAAGCAGGATGGATTAGAATAAAATATCATATATTGATTGGATATATCTCAAATTAATATAATAGGATACTCTTTATACTAATTACCCATGCCAATGTCCTTATGAATTAAAACACATTATTCACATTTATTCAGAATATAGCTAAATAAATGTGAATATTTTAAATAAACGTCTGAATTGATTTCAATGAAATTTATTATATAGATAAACCATAAACCTAGATTACACATAGAATAGCTACTTTATAATACTCGTGTACTAATTTACGCGGATAAAGCCGCGTGTAATAGCTAATATGTAATATGAATTCATATTAAATTGAAAACGTGTATCACACGCATCTTATTAACATTATATTACATCGATGACTAATAAAGAAACAGTTTTTTTTTAATCTTTTAACATGAATGTTTGTTGGCAGGTTCATCCCCGGGTCACAGTCCTGTGCTCAATTTGTCGAAGTCGGGTTCGGGTGACCGTGACCGGCCTGATCGAGGTGACCGGGAACGTGGCGACCGAGGTGAAGGTTCTGCCAGTGGGCGAAGCTCTGCCGCGTCCCGGCGCACCCCGCAACCTCCCCGGCTCCCGTCAGCAGCCACCGCAGCAGCGTCGCCTCGATCACACACAGACGACAGTGACGCAGCGCTCTCCGATCAGGAAGAACACAATGTTAAAGACGAAGACGACGGTAAGAACTTTGAAGATACACTTATACACTGCTATAAGGTGCTTATAGGTGCTATACAATGACTGCAATTGTCTGGTTGTTTAACTACGAGTATGATGACCTGGATTATAGAAAATTAGACAACAAACATTTAAAGCTTGCTCTCGTAGTGTTATTATAGGTGATAGTTTCCAATTGTAATTTAATATACTATGTAATAATAGATTTGCTTTTACATTATGTAGATAATTTTGCTATCTAACGTATATAGACACGTGAATGTAACTTTAATTTATTACCGGTTCAATATCATAAAATTAAAATTTATGTATATACTATAGTCATAAATATATTTATGAATAACTTACGAATCCTTTAAAGCGTCATATACAAGTTAAAATACATATACGAACACGTGGAACAATTCGCCCACCGGAACCAATTATTAACAACGTACACCGCGAAGTTTAATTCAGTTTCGCATAAATGTCGACTCGATATTAATGAGTAATTCTCTCTCTTTCCGATGTAATCTCGGCTAGGCATGACAGCAAAGTGTCCGTGCAGGATTAACACAGCTAGTGGTATCACCCGTTCAATATACTCGGCATGTAATGCACGGCAAAATTACCCAGTAATAGCTCTGGAACCTTCAGCATTCATAGTTCGAAAATTATCAGCCATAAAACCGCGTTCCTTTTATTCTAGAAACTGGAAACGCTTATTATAATAAGTGTAAAATGGCTACCCCTCAATACATTGTAACTCGACATCCGACATTAATTATTTTACAACGGAACATAGCACTCAAATGGATTAATCTTCTCTGCTGTAAACAAATAAATATATTTCCTGCTTACTCTCACTCGTAGTAAAACTAGAAAATTGATGATATATTATGATCAATAGGCGCACCTCAACATTCTAGTGAGCTATTAGCAAATGATCATACGCTAGCGTTCACAGTTCCCATACATTTTCCGTCTTGATCCCGAGACACAGCACGTTTACTTATAATGGTCCATATAATAAAACATTATTATATCTCTTCTTTTGCTTTCAATATACATGAAAGTCGAGTATGATTAATTTGTAGTTAAGTAATTTTTATCTCTTTTCTATAATAAATAGCCGTTAGTTTTATCTCTTCCCTCAAATATTTAACTATTAACTCTATTAAATAAGCTATGATGGATGGCATGACAATTTCTCCGCTCGGAGTAAGATTCGAGTTATCTACAGCTTTTTCTTCATTGGGTCTATTGCTGTACTAAATATTTTAATCAATTTAACTTTATCCCCGACTTTAACATCATAAATCAAATTAAAACTTGTTATTTGACCAACGTCAAGACGTTATTAAGTTATATTGTTTTTAATATAAGATTTTATATTATGACTAGATTCTGAAATTATGTACTCGTAATCATTTCTAGATGGTATTCCAAGATAATATATACTAGATTTCATGTTATACTTTCAGGAATTCAACTGTGAAAATCACATTTAAATCGGAAAATTAATTTTTGCGTGATGTCTGAATAAATATGCAGACATACGTAATTCATGTCAATCCATCGTATCATATTTTTTTTTTAAATATTGTCTATGTTACAATTCTGTTATAATATATAATTCTAAAATGATTTTAGGTAATAATTAAGTTTGAAATAGAACTGAAACTCAGAAAGATAATTCTACTAAAAAATCAATTTTAAAACGTATTATTTTTTTTTGCATTTCATTCAGTAAAAAACGTTATGAGGTGAATAGAAAATTATTATTAGCAGATAGTCATGATAGAGGCGACGACGCCAAATCAAAACAACCATCCAGAAATGTAAATAGTCGTAGCGCACAATAGCTAAATTAAGTGAAACAATAAGGATTGTGTACTGTAGTTATTGCTGGTTAAGTACTACAAAATGCCCGTAGAGCGTGGGAACGTCTAGCTGCCAACGATTTTATAGAAAATGTTCGCTTAGCCACGAATTCATCGGATGAGTCCCAAGTACGTGCAAATATAATGACGAATCCTGTCATCGAATATAAAAGAATTTATATCAAAAGAATAAGCAACTCAAGTAGTTTTAAAATTAATTTCTACGTATGTATGTATACAACCAATTCGGTCAAACGTAGTTCACGCTCATCACGATCGGCGCACTCAAGTATAAAATACTTTTTGTTAAAGTCTATGTCATTCAACTTTGATCTTTCGTCTGTCTGATATTACCTATTTCTTTCAATCACTATTCTCATTTTTAGTCTCAAATTCTTTCATATCCATAAAGTCTTTTACTGTATCATTAAAGTCAATCAAATATCTGTCCTTGGTATTAGTGAGAGAGTTTAAGTTCGATTGCGACTACGTTCTAGCATCCTGTTAATTGGCCTTATTAGGAAAATGGTGTTGTGACAACCCAAGAGTGCTATCGTGCGCATCGACAATGACGAAACGATGTTGTCTTCATTATTTGATGAGCGTTCACTATCTTGTCAGTTAAATTAAATGTATCGATAGATTATTTTGGACCGTGAGAGACGCCAATCGAAACACTTTCTTTTTTTATGTGTGAGGTCCGTTATTGACATAACGTGTACATTACTGTAATTATCTCGTCAATTTGTGAAATAATAAAATGTACTTTTAAGTTTCATCAAAGTCATTGAATTAACAGTTAATATTGATTGGTCATTAAATCAAAGTATATGGCTACAGTATAATTTATTTATGTGATTTTTCCGGTAAAATACTCTTGCTTAATATCATCTAGGTAATTATAAATAATCGATGTTAAACATTGGAATCGCCGATGAGTCCGGGCTGTGGTTTTGCAAAAGCGACGACTTGTTCGATAGTGCAACGAGCCATATAAATCGGTTAGAGACAGCCCATTCGGTGTCGAATGGCTTGTGTCCTTATTCTGATAAATAACATACACTACGTGATTGAACTGATATTCTATAGCAATGATCGCTACGTTCAAATTAAAACTGCACATCTAAAAAACAAAAATTAAAATTAAATAGGTACAAATTGAACTTTCATCAAAATAATTTGTCATCTATATTATTTATTTCCCTTTTTAATATATTCGTATGTTACATGTAAATTTCTAATTTTATTACACATTCGTAAAATATTTGTGTTTAAAATTTATGTATGTTTGAATATACATTATCATAATATGAGTGAATAATACTGAATTTTATTACATAAACAAAACACTCACTCAACGCTCGGAATCCATATTTGGCAACGTTAGAAATTCAAATCAAATTGACTACACACATTGACATGTATCAATTGAAATAAACAATGACATTATATCAAAATTAGAATTTGTATCGCATTACCATAAGATATTATTGACCTATTACACTGTAAGTTTAGATTTTTATAGTAAAATGTATTTAGAAAGTTTCTGAAACGAAATGTGATTGTCTACGTTATTCTTTGGCTACTTATTATTACGTTATTTTTATATGATGTTAAGTGACCGTAGCACTTAATATCATACTTATGTTGACATACTATACAGGTACCAAGTACCTGGAATAGGCAGGCATATTGGATGAACTCCATCAAAGAACTACGCCGGTGATCACCACGCGATATCGATGTTCATCGCTGCAATAATTGCAATGCGAATGATACATGCACGCGATTCTCGAATATCGATGTTTGTCGGTATCGTATGCTTTTTCGTTTTATACAGACATACATTCCATTTAGGGCTTCTTATGAAACAGTTATTGCCACTAATGATTTATTGTAATAAGCTTGCCTTTTATGAATATTTAATAATATTAAAACCTGCGTCATCATTTTCCAGAATTTGTCCTTAAAGTTTTATGACTGCGACACCACGAATTCAGAGCATAAAGCTTAAAATATAAATAGATTCATTGTAATGTTCTAAAATAGCTCTGATACTTTGGTATTGATTTTTTATATTTTTATTTGTCTCGGTTGTTCATTCATAAAACTTTGCTGTATTTAAATTCCCTAATAATTAAAATAGCCTCTGACAATAAATGGATCAAATAATTTTCAATAAGTTTTCGATAAAATAAAATTTTATAAGAACTTTTATTTTGACATTTCAGCAAAGTGTATATATGTTTTAGTGTTATGTGATTTTCTTTACGAGAGGTATATATAGCCTATTACTACTTTCTCCGTTCTAAATAAAGTCTGCAGACAAAATTTTATAACGTTTGATGAAATCAGAACCAACAGATTATTATAATATTGATAAGGATCTTTATTTTGCATCTTTTCAGATATTAGTTAATTAGAGTGCAATTACTCCAGGTGCAGATCTGAGCGACGGCGAACGCGAACTACCGACCGCTGCATCACCAGCGCCGGTGAGCTACGCGGCACCAACAGGCACCCCACCAACCGTACCGGTTGACCCGTCCGCCGATACGCTGGTTTCCTCAACCGAAACCTTGCTTAGGAATATACAGGGCCTCCTCAAGGTAGCGGCCGACAACGCGAGACAGCAAGAAAGACAAATCAGTTATGAAAAAGGTATTTATTTTGTCCTTTTTCTATATATAGCATGTATATAAACTAATATTATAATTTTTTTGTTTGTAATGGATAAACTCAAAAAATACTTGCATAATACTGAACATACTATAGATATACTTGTATCCTCGTGCAAAGCCGGAATGAATCGTTAATTTTTAACAAATTAAAATTTCGTAAATATCATCGTTTTTTTCTATTTCTGCAATAAAACACCATCGTTTTCTGTATTATATTATTTCAATCTGTTTATGACGCGAGAGAATAATTTCAAATCATCCTTGTTTCTTACAGCTGAAATACTAGTAGTAGTAACAGTAAGTAGGTCGTCTTTTATATTATGAAATTACTATATTGATTTTAGCACCACCGGCAGTGCATTCTTGACTTGCCTATCTCAACGGTGGCTACCACTTTCAAATTGCTAAAAAAATATTAAGATCATACTATAACTAACATAATAGATATGCAGTATTTTAGAAGATACAAGGTCTGAAATATCTTGATTAGATTATTTATAACTTGTACTGTTACTTGATTTAGTTTATTAAAATAAAAATAAATTGGTATAAATCATATCAATTGAGATATAATTAGGGCGATGTCTAGAAAATACAGTTTTTGCATTAGCCATAATACTACCTTCGTAGAACCAGAAAAATGATATCCACTTTCCCAGAAACACGTAGGTGCCGTTTTTGAATTAACATATGAAATTATCACAGATTATGGATACGGTGACACTGTATGCAGGAAGCCTTGTCGTTGTAAATGTTATTTATAATCGATATTAGTCAACAACTCGCATGAATCGATTCTGCGTAATCGGACGTATAAGCAACATTGATTAGCTGCTCCCAGTATCTTAGATCACGTACTTATGTACACAGTGTGCGTTCCCTTATCCAGTGTATTTATAACGACACAAGTTTCATTTGCATCACATTATGTGTTGTACGTTTATTGCGTTATTACGCAAAATTATTAAAATTGGAATTAGTCGGTAAATAGCAGTTTTGATGTAATAATTCTTTATGGTCAATCTTATCATGTGTGGAACCGCTTGCAGCAGCCGTCAATATTCATAGTACATACAAATTACTTAAAATATTAGTTATTACAGTAAACGTATCTATTAATAGTGTACTTACAATGTTTATAGTTTCGAGATTATATCATGATCGTAGTATTTGATTCAGCTCCGAGTATGGAAAGTAGTAAGTAATACGAACATATAAGTAATAGATACTGGCAAGTCATAAGCTAACGTCAAATCTAGGTCCGGGCTCCGGAGACAGGCGATGCAGTGCGAGCTCGGCGCACGTCGTGCCTTTGCAAATAGCCGTAGAACAGATGCGCCTGAGTTATAGCCCAACCCACTATCATTACACACGATTCCATTCGGACAGCATAATTGTTTAATTGATATTTCTGCGAGTTATTTATTCACGTCATTCCGTTTTCCCCATGAGAAATAACTCAGTGCGCTATGGCGATGTTCTCAGCGAGTCCAGCGATGGAAATGTTGACTTGTACAAATGTAATAATGACACACGGTAAGTACATAACATAACATAACTCCTTGTATTAATTTGCTAGGTGCTTTCATATAATACACAAAAAATAATATTCAATCCCCTATTACCTAAACAAAAGAAAAGAATTGCAATTGTTATAAAATTCATAAAAAAAACAGAGGTCGAAAAGAAAACTCAAGTCCCGAGTCATCATCAGACTTGAATATCAATATTGCGCCTCCAGCCAATTGTATTAATAAACAAAACAAAATGAGAAATAATAATGCTATAGGCTAACAAAAGGTTCCATTTCTCCCCCCAACATGTAGGCAAACGTCAGGGAAAAAGCTCTCTAAGTCAACAGTTTTAAGAGTGAAATTCGTTTATAAATGTAACCCGTAATTTTGTTATTACGATAATAAAATTATTGTTGATGAAACATTTTTTCGAATCGATGTGTCTGGTGAACATTACCGTTGATTTTTTTATAGAAATTACAGCAATCACCCGCTGGATTCGCCTCGGCTCAATTGATAGGTGTTACAGTGTATGCGTTGTATTTTATTTCTTTCTTACCATTCGACCAAGTCTATATAAATGAATACATATATAATAAGCTTTATAAATAATTCATGATATAGCTCCAGTTCTATTTGTTTCTACTTATTATAATTAACAAATCTAATTTTCTCTTTATGTAAAACTTTTTGTATATACTTATTTTATGAGCTTGTCTATATATAAAAAAAATGTAAATTACTAAAATAAGAGAAGAGGTATGTAATGACAAATTACATACCTCTTCTTACATTGGTATTTGTCATTTTTTAGCTTTTTGTCTTGTTTAACACATGAGAAACACATTCTGAAATTTAAATCTATCATCAGATGCCATACTCGTATAATATGGCAAATGTTTCTGTTTTCTGTTTAGCCTACGTTTTGAAAAAAAAAAAACATTGTAAAATCGTATGTATTGGTTACATTTTTTTAAAGATAAGTGTTTCTATGATATATAAATACCTATATACCATTTTTTGAAATATAAACTAAGTTTTATGTGAGTTAAAAAACAAAATTTTCTCGTCTGCCTATATCAAAACTAAAAAGTTACCACAATCATTGATAAATAGAAGTATTATTATTCTACGCAGTATATAATATCTCTGGAATGTTTAAGTAAACATTGAACCCGTCCCCTCTGTAGGTGACAAAATAGCAGATTACTATCTAGACATATTCGCTGACAATTTTTACACTACTATAGAGTGGGTGACATACAGACAAATGTGTTCTGCATTCACTGCGTTATCAGATAACCACGGGAAGGGTTCACTGAAAGCCTTGCCACAACATGCTGTCGATTTGTATGTGTAAGTAAATATAGTAGCAGTAGCTATGAATAGGAAATGGTCTAATATTGTAGCTAGTCGCGTATCTTTCGCTTTTGCTTTCACTATAAAGAAAAGCTCCTGGAAGTTAGAATTGTTTAATAAACAAACGTTTTGCAAAGAACAAATTCATAAGGTACATTGATTGATTGCACCTGACAATCTCACAATTCCCCTAAAAACATATAATAGTAATATTTAAATATGTAATTTAGATCGATATCCTGGAGTTTAGATTATTTAGTCATATTCTTTTCAATAACTAAAGTTTTATTTAGAGTTATTTATTATTAAGAAGCCATCTGATACTGTATGATATGCCAAGAATAATTATTATTCGAATGTCTTAATTCAAGTAATCTTGTGTGTGTGTCTTTGATTAAAAAAATAAAACTTACCTTGTAAAATATATTAAATTTGATACGCCTAATTGAAGTAATCAAGTTCTATGCTACCAAAAACTGATTACATGTATGTGTGTCTTTGACTCGTAAAAAATAAACCCTACCTTATAAAATATATTAAATTTGATATGTTTATACGAATATACGCTTTTGAAGACCTATGCTAACTGTAAAAAGTCGATAGTAGCATTTATTATTCCAGATTCCAAGATGTAATTCATTTAACACTTCAATTGTCTTTTTATTACTTTGGTAATTGTTAGCTAAACTTTTCACTTACAAATGAGGATTAGATTAAATATAAAATTCAACCTTTAGTGTTCGATACAACACATCGAGGCATTCCTTTAGGAATCGAAAAAATAAAAGACGGTTACACGGAGAATGGGGTCGATTGCGATCATCGCGACATAAATCTGCTTCGGCTACTCTTTTAAGCTTTTATCCTGTTAATTCTTACCGCTTAGTTTATTTCTGAACGAAATGGCCCGCTCTTGTTACCGCGGTTTTGTTTCTCTTTGTCTTACAACTATCAGTTTTTGTTAAGCTAAGTGCTGTTCAATGGACAAATGGCATGAGAGTAGATACAGTGAGAGTATTTTATGGCTTATAAAGGAAATATTTTTGTTGGCTCAAGAAAATAAAGACTGATCGGAATATCAGTTAAATATTAATTTATACAGAAGGCATTTTAATTTGATTTTTGAAAGAAGTTAATATTCTATTGTTTTAAATGTATTTTCTATGTATAATTAACTTTATTTCTAGGTATAAATAACTTGATTTAGTTGAAAACTAGTCTGATCTAAACTTTATAAAAGTATTTAAAATATTATTGTCAAGAATTGATTGACTATAGTTAAAAATACTTTTTTAAATATTTGTTTATGACATTTTCTATTTTATTCATTTTAAGGCTTAGATATACTTTATTCAGAATTTATTATTCTATTGAACATAACTGTTTCAATGAAATGATTAATATTTTTGTTCTAAGTAGCTAACCAATTAATTACATAATTCTATTCAAATATCTCTATTAACAATGGCATAGAATTCATTTTTGCGAATATTTGAAAAACGGTAAGCTTACAGGAAATATACCATCAATAACGTGGAAATGACCGATCGGACAAACATACCTACTGGTCAATGATAAAAACTGACAACAAATACACGGGACATGTGTACTCAGCTAATGGATTCAATTGATATGAAAGCTTTTACAATGCTGACGACGCGGACATTATCGATGTGAAACCAAATTACACTGTTTCGTATATATATGCTAAATCAATAAATAAAGATAATATCGTTTATTCAGATTATGTGAATATGTTATTAATAGGATTATGTTGGATCACAAACCATAGAATATGTTTATACATTAGCATTACTTGATTCTTACTTGATTTTGTATTCATACTCGTATCTATATTCTTTAAGCTGAAGTTTATTCTCATCATCATTAAAAACATAACATTGAGAGTCATTTACATATACGTTGATCATTTCTAAAACAACCTATGGGACTTGAATAAAGTAATCAAATCAATAATTTGAATATACGTAATAATTATTTACATGTAGTAATCGAAACTAAGCAGTGAAATAAATACTGTCTATTACCTTCAATATATCTTTATGCAATATCTTTTATGAATAGAAGATTTGTACCGTCCATCACG